CCCGAGGAGCGCGGAGCCGGGAGCCTCCGGGCCGGCGGGCGGGGGCCCCGCGCGCAGCCGCTCCCGCCGCCCACCCGGGCCCGCGCCCAGGGCGGCGGACAAAGGGCCATGCGGGGCCGCGGGCGCTGAGCGCGGCGGGGGCCGGGGATGCGGCGCCGCTGAGCGCGGCGGGGGCGGGGCGGCCGCGATGCCGTGGTTCCCGGTGAAGAAGGTCCGCAAACAGATGAAGCTGCTGCTGCTGCTGCTGCTGCTCACCTGCGCCGCGTGGCTCACGTACGTGCACCTGAGCCTGGCGCGCCAGGGCCGCGCGCTGCGCCAGCGGCCGGGCTACGGGCGAGGTAGGGGAGGACGCGCGCCCGGGGGCGGGGGGCAGCGAGGGCCAGACCCGCCGGAGCCCCGCCCGCTCCCCCCGGCTCTGCGATATTGGGGGAGGGGGCGCGGCTCGCCCGGACGCCCGATGACGTCAGCAGTGACGTGCATGACCCTCTCGGGAAGCGTCCCGACCTGCGAGGTCTGGGACCTGGCCTGGATCGGGTAGTGATGGAGCTCATGGTGGGCCGTTGGGGAGACTTCGCCCCCAGCCTCTGCTGGGGTTTCCTGGAGGCCCGACAAGGCCTCGCCGCCACCACTTGCCTGCTTAGCAGGACCTCAGTTTCCCCATCTGCTGGCAGGGGGCGGGGAGGGCGGTCGCCCAGGAATCCAGCCTCGGACCAGGGCCGGGCTGGCAGAGTGCGGTCAGAACGCTTTCTGGAGGGGACGCCCTCGTAAACCAGCCATCAGGGTCAGAGACGCCTGTGTGCTGCCCCGCGAGGCACAGCACGTGTGCCCAGCCTGGGCAGCCTGAACCGCCCCGAGTTAACTCTGCCGGGGTCCTCGTGCCACGTCCACAGGGGGCAATGAACCCACAAAGCAGATCAACGCTGGTGAGCCGGGGGTGGGCCCCTCGGAGATGGTGACCTTTGAGGCACAAGTTTGGGGAAAGGACACTCCAGACAGAGGAACGCACCGGTGATAGTGGGAGGAGGGAAGGCAGAGTGCCCCTGAACGTGGGGTGCAGAGGACGAGGAGGGCAGAGAGCCCCTGAACCTGGGGTGCAGAGGAAGGGAGGTGAACAGCTCAAGGCAGGAGCAGAAGCCCCACCTCGGGCAGGAAAGATCCTGGCTGGGCTGCCTCTGACCCTGTCAAGGAAGCTGGGTGTCCTGAAGATGGGGCCTGGGGTGGGGCTGTCTCCTCTTGCAGACCAGGAACAATGACGTGACTCAGGACCCTGGGCCGCTCCACCTGAGGGGCCCAGAGCTCCCTGCTCAGCCCTAGCCCTGCCTCCCACCTGCCGAAGCCCCCTGACTGCTCCTCTTTGTGTGCCCGGACACCTAACTCTGAGGAGGCTTCACCAGACCCCAGGCCAAGGGTCTGGGGCTTGTCTTGACCCCCAGAGGATCTCTGGGTTACCCCAACCTATGTACCTCACAAATGCCACACCCTCAAGAGACCCCCAGCACTGCTTGATCCCTAAAAGAAGCCCCCCCACGCCGACAACAGCTGTCAGCAGATAGGGCAGGATCCAGAGCAGACCCTGTGACATGCAACAGAACCAGCCTCTCCTTGGGCATCTCTGTGGCTTTCTGAAGCCCCAGTCCTCCCCCAGTCTGGTTTCCTGACCAGCTGGAAGGCCTGGAGGAAGAGGAATCCCACTTCTGAAGAGCCCTCTGCTGTCAGTGGGCAGAGCTGGAAGAGCAGGACTGTGGCTCCTCCTGGGAGGAGACTGTCCCCCAGGGGACAGTCTTTCCAGGGCCACTTTGGCCCAGGTCCTCTGGCAGACAGGACCGGGTGCCAGCTCTCCTCTGCCCAAGGTGGTGCCAGGGTTCCTTTGTCCCTGGCTTCAAAGACAGCAGGCGGCACAGGTGCCATGGGCCAGAGCTGGCTCAGCCTGTGGGCTCCTCCTGGGAGCAGCTGCCACCTGGGCCCCACAGGCCAGGGCTTGCGAGAAGGTGAGCACCTGGACAGGCCTGAGGCTGTCCTGACTACCTTGTCTGCAGCCCTGGGGTGGTGTCCAGCAGCCTGTGCAGAGGTCCCCAAGGGAAGGCGGAGCCAGGGGCCGGCAGGCCCGTCTAGACATACTGTGCAGGGCTCAGCCCCTGCAGGACAGTGGCAGTAGCCCAGGCTGGGACCCCACTGCAGAAGGCTCCCAACTAAGTCCAGAGATGGCTGGACTTAGTTTGGCCAGCTGTCGGGATTTGGGCAGGTGCTGTTAGGGGCTCAACTCCCAGCTGGGCAGGAGAGGGACTGGGGCAAGAACCTGGAAGGAGCCAGTGGAGGGCCCTGCAGGGTCTCAGCAGGCAGAGGTGGGGGCAGGGGGCCCTGCCCCTTACGTCTCAGCCCCGCCTGTGCAGGATTTGTGCTTATGAGGTCTGGACTGAGGGACGGGCATGGATGTCGAAGCCCGGGCTTGGCCCTGAAGCAGAGGCTGCTCCTGGACAGGGCGGCCCTGGGTGGCACCAGCAGGGGCAGAAGGGGTGAAGCGAAGCCTCCCCGCCATGTGGATGTTCAGGTCCACAGCGTAGGGAGCAGGCCCAGGCAGTGGAGGAGGCCCGGGGGGCGGCTGTGGAGATGTCCACGGGCAGACTCGAGAAGGGTCCCCTGCGGGACAGTCTCTTTCCAGGGCCACCTTGGCCCAGGTCCTCTGGCAGACAGGACTGGGTGCCTGCTCCCCTCTGCCCAAGGTGGTGCC